TTTTTCAGCTGAAGGAAAACCTAGAAAAACCTGCAGTACCCCATAAAAGAAAATGTAGGGTATCTCGAGAGTCTCCAATAAATTCAAAACATCGTCAGAACACTTCGTGACATGACTATCGTCAAACTTAAACCAGTCCGTTTCGTCTTTGACCAAGGCGAAATAATGACCAAATTCAACGCCAGAACCACAGTGAACAATGAGTGCATGAAGATTATAATAGTGGTCTGGTAGATTGAAGTGTTTCACCTATTTCAAACTTTCTTGAAAGTTTGGTGTAACCGTCAGAAGTTGAGTCATGTTTGAAGATCATCAGTGTCATTATTAGATTGACTGGTGCCTTAACTAAACTCGTTTTCTTATAATAGCCAGTTAGTTTGGCACATGTTTGGTAATATAGTTGATCATCACCCGTTAGAATTTCCATTTTAAGATGATTTGGCAATAAGCTTTGCTGGGACTGGATATCAGTCATTTAAGGAAACGCTAGTTGAAGTTTCTCATTAGTCAGTGGGTTATGCTTGAAGACTGGCAGTAAACACATCTAAAGTGAATGAACTTCAAACGTTCAAGCCAGTCTCGATATACCTACACAAATTACGGATGTGCAGTTGGTTAGAACCTCGTCCACTAGATGGAGTAACACTTTGTGATGTTCTCTCCAACTTCGGAAGAGGAATGAAATACTCTGAAAGAATTCCGATTTTCAATTGTGGAATATCATTGACTTTAGGTCGATGATGGTCACTATCTTGCACTGATGAGTGGCTAATAAGCTGAAACCGGTCTGCAAGTGTACCCGTTCCAGAATTGAAGGTCGACTCTTTCAGTTGTATTGCCAATTGCATATGCAGGAAATTTTCGGTGAAGATTCCTGTACTGACGCCTGTCGGATATAATTCAACGCCCTTCGTAGTATTAGCCAGGGGAATAGTTGTTTTCTGATAGGCGTCAGTCCATTAAACTTACTGTGTAGGTATATCGAGACTGGCTTGAACGTTTGAAGTTTATTTGCTTTAGATTTGTTTAGTGCCATCTTTCAAGCATAGCCCACTGACTAATGACAATGTTTTTTTTTCCTATGCAGAGGAATCGGGCAAATTACGGATGTGCAGTTGGTTAGTACCACGTCCACTAGATGGAGTGACACTTTGTGATGTTCGCTTCAACTTCGGAAGAGGAATGAAATACTCTGAAAGAATTCCGATTTTTAATTATGGAATATCATTGACTTTAGGTCGATGATGGTCACTATCTTGCACTGATGAGTGGCTAATAAGCCCGAAACCGGTCTGCAAGTGTGCCCGTTCCATAATTGAAGGTCGACT